GTCTAACCAAAATCAAACTTGACCCAACCTAGGTTTAGCCCAAACCCTAAACTGAACCCAAGACCTGACCTAACCCAATTCTAACCCGAACATTAAACTAACACAGGTCTAACCCAAATCAGATCTGACCAAAAACCTAACCTAACCCAGGTCTGACCCAAGCCAGACCTAACCTGCATCTTAACCTAACCCAGGTCTAAGTTAACCCAGACTTGACTCAAGCCCTCAGGTAAATCCTAAACCTAAACTAAAACCTAGCTCAAACCAAACCAAACTCGGGTCAACCTAGCTCAACATGAATCAAACCCAAACCAAATTTAAGCCAACCTGGGTCAACTTAGCTTATCATGGGTCAAACACAATCCAAACCTAACCCAACCAGGTTCAAATCCAAATCAAACCTAACCCATCCCATGTCAAAAAAGTTCAACCCGGGTCAAACCCAAGCCAAACCTAACTCAACCCAGGTCAATCCAACTTAACCTAGGTTAAACCCAAATCAAATCCAAGCTAACCCATGTCAACCCAGGTCAACCTAAATAAAAAACAACATACCTCGAGTCAATTTAAGCCCAACCCATACCCAAATTAGCTAACTTATATCATACCTTAGCTCAATCTTGAGCTAACATAAGCTGGAAAGTTAGCTTGCATTAGCCCGATCTAGACCCAACTCTAATTCAAAGCTAAAAATACACAACATGTTGTTTCATAAGTTATCTCATGTTCCATATGTTATTTCATATGTTTTTTCCATATGTTTTTTCATATATTATTTCATGTTTCATATGTTATCCCATTTCACATCATCTCATGTGTTATTTCATGTTTATGAACCAACCAAACATATATATATATATATATATATATATAAAGAAAATAAGGATTAGAACTTCTTAGTTTCTCCACAAATATCAAAAACCAAAACTTAAACAAAACAAACCACAAAACTTAGAAAAACTATGATTTCTCAACATGACTGAAAAACCTAGGAATAAAATAAGAGATTAATGTAAAAATTGAACTTCAAATAAACATCTAAAACACAACAACATAAAGAATAAGAACAGAACATATGTAGATCCACATAAATCTTAGGTTAGCTGACATAAACACAAAACTGAGGTTTATGTGGATCTACATATGTTAGAAAACTAGGCTAGTTTAGGTACGTAAGTTAGTGCTAAGGACTATGACATGCACATCAACAAACCTACCCCTAGGAATAGAGGGAATAACTTAGAGTGAAGTAACTCATAGTTACTGCTGAAGGTATTTCAGACTGCTTAAAAGCTAAAAACCCTCCATGCTCAGGCATTCAAAGAGGATTCTTGGTTATGATTTGGTTATAAGGCTGGTCATAGTCAATAAATAAAAACATTTTTGGGACAACAGAAAGTCATATGCCTTTTAACCAGAGACATTATTCTCAAAATCTAGGTTAATCTACCCATAGATTTATTTATAAGTTCAAGGTTTCATTAATCATCTAGAAATCATTTTCTACCTGACTTTATCCTTCGCTTAAGGTTTATTACCATTATTGTTATTCAAATCGAGTATTCCTAATTTATCTTTTGACCTTACCTAATTAATTCAAAATCAACACTAAACCCCTATCATCAAATTTTTCTTATGTCTCATTCCCCTTTTAAACGTAATTCTTCCAATTTGAACCCCCATTCCAATTTTAAAAGTCTGATATCTGATAATTTAACTCATCACATTATGCAAGAGTTTTCTTTAGGGCTCATAGCTCTAAAGACATTATTAACTACAAGAGCTTGCCTTTGTAGAGAATGAGAGCCCATAATTAAAATAAACATTATCTTACACGCGTAAGGTAAGGAAAGAATCCTAGTTCTGCAGATTCATAAATCCTAATGACATTCCTCATCTGAATGATTGAATCCATTCTAAGATAATGTTTCTATCTTTTGAGATAGTATATAATTCTTCGAATGTCATATTTGATCATTTAGATAAAAGTGTTTTGAAAACTATGATGGAAACCAAACTAACCAAAACAATTCCCCACAAAAGTATTTAAAGAGGTTTCATTTTTTTATATATTTTAAATATTATAAAAGGTTTGATCTTTGGATGGGCATAATTGGGCTGATGACAAAAGTAATCAATGGGAGTGATTTTAGTTTTGAACTCGAGATGCTGTTCAAGTCAGTGAAAATTTATACTATTATTGGATCCTAGATTGTCTTTTAGAAAAGCATGCCTTGAGAGTTGGAGCCAAGGGAAGAAGAGGGAAAGACAGAGAGAGAAAGCAGAGCAACTAGTGAATTCAGGTATAAAAATTGAAGGAAAAAGCCCCTTTATTTATATTTTCACCCCTTATTGATAGGGTCATATTTGTACATTTACAGATAGAAGGGAACAATTATGGAAACTGCCTTTAATGCAATTAGTGCACTAATTTAATAGTAGATCTGCATTACAATTTAAGTGTAATACAATGGATATCAGTGGATCGACGTGTTTGAGTTCGATTGACTGACACAACCAGTCGTATGACGATCACTCCTACTGAGGTAAAGATGGTCAATCAGCTAGTTGCTATCAGAGGTCCTTGCAAGGAGTTTAGATATTGCATGTCAGCTGATTTGATTCATCTACATTACATGTCAGACGACTTGATCAACTGGTCAGTCATCAGATGGCTAGTTTAGATCATGCTCCTTTAGCTCGGTGCTTCGATTGTTTGACCTTTATCCTTGGCCATTTGATCACTTTGAGATTCATGTTGACAATTTTGGTGCAAACATATTAGTTCTCTAAGTTTGCTACTCCTTGATTGTGAAAGTTATGATAAGGAAAGGAAACTATTAAACAATGAGTGGCACCAAAAATGAGAAAATTAATTAAATAACTAACTTTTCTTTGGGTTTTATGCCTAGTGAACCCTATAAGTAAGATCATATGGTTGACATTACGTTCATTACTGCCAACTTTCCTCACATAGTTGAGGCATAACACGGTTGATGATATGAGCCGAGACGATGTGGATCCTAAACGTTTGGCTATGGCATGCTTTTAGATCCATGCCTCCGTAAAAAAAGAAAAAGGTCATAAAGAAAGAAAAATGGTCGAGACATAAACCTATGTCGGCCGATCAAGTCAGCTCGTCTAAGGGTCATAGGGGCGGGTGCCGAAAAAGCCTCGCTAGGGAGCCCAAGCTCTTAGGCCTGACACAAGCTCTATTGTTGAGGGCTAGCAGGGCCTGATTGTCGAAGGCATCAAGGTCGGTGAAAAGAGGCCGAAGGACACGCTAGACACCAACTTTCTCCAGTCACCACCATAGAAAAAAAAGAGGTACCCCATCACGAGGGAAAGACGCACTTTTGAAGGCCCTTTCTACAATAGATAGATTTTTAAATACATAAGAATTTTTTTTGTTCGTTGGTAGTTTTTAGTAATTTCTTGACATTATCTTAATGCAGACAAATTAATCAGAGGAGAGGATTGTGAGGGTGGTGGACCAACAAAAGATGCTGTTGAGTCCACTCCCATTGTTGTGATCGAGCCAGAAAGTGTGATCACCACGCTCCCACCATTGGTCAATGCATGGGGACATCGACCGCTCGATCCTCTGCCTACAGCTGGTCCCACTCTTTTGACCTCTCTTAGCCTCTTTAGTGGTTCCCAGTAGGGGCAGTTCGATTGGTGATATATGTTGACCTCATTTTTGGTGAGGTCAAAATTCTTCTCATAGAACTTAGGATTTAGCCACTCCTACTGACTCTCTTAGATGACTAACAATGGAACCCACCTCACTTAGAAATTCGAATTGCTCCTTGACTTCTCTTAAGTCTCGTATGTGTGGTTTCAAATCTTCAATATCTAATTGAGTCGATTGGACCCAACATGTTGAAAGTTAAGGCGAGTTCCTATAAGGATTGAGAATGCACTAGAAAGACCCTTTAGACTTTGGCAGCTTTCGATCTTTGATGCATCGCAATTTACACAATATACACATAAAGACCATAATACATACATAACTCACTATCAAAAATCAAATTTAAATTTAAAAAAATGAAATGAAAAAATTGTAATGTGAATCTGAGACCCTTTGACACAGGTTGACTAACTCGTCGCCAAGATTGTTCTGCTTTGCTTTGGTCGTCGTTTAAGCGAAGACCGATCCACAATTCGCTTGTTGAACGACTTCGATCGACTCGACAAATCGCATCTGCTACGCGACACTGATCGTCGACAGACTTATCAAGATGATCCCGAATGATGAAACAGACTACGTCGTGCTTCTGGAAAACCAATTTTTCCTAAGGACACCCGTACTGCTATAATTTCGTGCATGGACAAATGACACATAAATTAAAATTAAAAAGAGAAGAAATAACTTAATTAAAAAAAATCTCAAACCTCATGCCATAAAGTTACGTGCGGAGTTCAATGAAATCACGCTATAGAGGAATATTCCCGGTAACACATGTAACACAAAAAAATATTCCTCTATGTTATTTAAGTGTTATGGTATGTTATTTATGTATTATTGTGTTCTCCGAATATTCCTAATATTATAATAATACAATAACACATTAATAATATTTGAATAGCATACGATGATATTTGAATAATAATTGAAGAATATTCTTCCATATTAATCGACCAATTTTTTTTTCAGGTAGGTGTGTGACTTACATTAGGCTGCGCACACAAAAGCGCTGATGTAATACTTTTTCTCGGACGAGACCCCAGATCTCTCGAATTCTGTCGATGGAGAACCCTACCCGTTATTCCCCACAACGGTTCTCCTACCGTTGGCTGCTCTAACGGCTCTCATCATTCGGCCGATTCCCCCTCTTCCCCCTCTCAGCCGAACGAAACCCATAGCCCATCCCTTCTCTCGCCGGCGGCCTCTCTCACCGGCAACCACGCCGACCTGCTTCCTCCTTTTCGCCGAGACCTCTTCCGCCTAAAGCCCTAGTCGGACTCCTCCCTTCCTTTTTTTTCATTTTTTCCCCAAATCTTTTGAGCTATCGAAGGTTTTACTACTCAGCTTATTTACCTTTCTTCGGATTCATCATCATAGGTCCGATTTTCTTGCTTTATGCTTCTTTTCTTTATGCTTCTTTTCTACTGCTTCTTTTCTACGAGCAGTTCGATCAAAGCTTTTGAATGTGTTGAAGATTAAAAATTGAAATGATTCAACAATCTTGCTTAAAGCACTTTCATTCGTTTTCTTTTATAGATTTATTAATGGGTACGATCTGAATTTATTTCTAGGGCTGTTAAGTTTATATGAATAAATTGTTGTTTTTTTCGGATCTATGAGATTTGCTTCTGGATAATTTTTAGGCATTTTAGTATCCTTCCTGAATTTAGACGGAAGTGGCGAGATGCCATTATTTGCCCTTGGATGAGTAATTTCTCTTCTAATATAAAGGGGTTCTTTCCTCTAATACTTGCTTTGATTATGAAGTAATCGCTTTAATTTCTCTTCAAAGAAAAATCCCACCTTACCGTGTTTTGTTTTTATTTCTGAAGTAATCGCTTTATTTTCTGATGGGTTTTAGAGCTACGGTTGTGGGTCTGATAGCTCCATTTATTCTTCTTATTTCGTTGGGTTTGATCTGTGCAAATGGAGAAAGCAACTGGATAGCAAGTTACTGTTATTTCAGCTCTTATATTGTCCTTGTGTAGATTCACGCATGCTTGTTTAAGCATCCTCCATGAAACTAACTCAATAAGCAGCAAACTATTGCATCTACTAAAGGATGTTGTTATTTTCATTAAGTAGTCTGGATATATCATTTATGCGATTCTACGAGCGTTTCATTTCTTTCATTCTTGAATCAACAATGGGTTTCAAGAGCTGTTTTTGGTAATTAACATGACCTCGGGCTTTGATTTTCCTTGCTTACTTGTGCTTGATTTCAAGGTTTCAAAATAAATGGAAAGTGTAGTAGATGAAGATCTGAAATTTTGACCACTTTATTAGGCTATCGAAGCATTAGATTGTACTTTTTGGTGAGCCACGAGAATAAGGTTAAGTATTGCTTTGAGAAGTAATATTTATACAAATCTTTATAGCCTATGTGTTAAAGGCCGTTAAAAAGCTGAAAGAACTATGACCATACTATATTTGCAATATATAGTGGGGAAAGCTTGTTAATGTTGTTTGGTACATTTCTATGGGGTTTTTTGGCTTCCTTTGATGCTGACGGTTCATGTGAAGTGTTTAAAGCCATTTGTTTATTACCAATAAAAATTTTTTTTCAATGGTTTTTCTGTATCTATGTTTTGTATGAATGATACCAAGGTTTAGGAATGTCGTTCAAGAAAAATAATTATGATGAATATGTTATCCATTTATGTGCAGTTCCGATCAAATTCTCCCTTCACTCCATTTTTGCATTACCTCATGTTCATTGTAACTGCACTTACGGTGTTATTCATGGAACCTTATCAAATTGCTACATTTGGAATTGATCAATTGATCTATCCCGGGATTTGAGCCCAAATCAGTGGAGAATTTCATTCAATATTTATGTGTTTACATATCTAATACCTTGAGTTTCAATTTCTTTATATATGCATCTTTTCACTCATGAACGAGAAGCCATATTGATAGTCTTTCGATATGCTATGAGAGACTTGGGAGTTATAAATGCAAATTTAGGTGTTTGATTTCTAGATACATAAGAATTGGGATTGAAAGTTAGTTTTTGCAAAATGGATAAGCTATGCACTCAGAACAGACAGTTGATCTATTGGAGCTATACCATTCAATTTTCAAACAAAGATGATGAAGCGGTCTTCACATTGCGTAATATTGAAATGAAATTTTCATCTCTAACAATCTCATTATTGAATTTGTGGTTATAGAAGACATAAAACGAATATATGCTTTGTTATTTTAAGCAATCCCAAGTGTGTACATGTGTGAGAATGCTCTTGTATATGCATAGCACCTTTCATGTGCCTTGTACATGAAATACTTGCACACATACCACACAATTCCTCTGAACTTGCATATCTAACACTAAAATGTTGATGTTTACATATATGCCACTCTCCCAAGCGTGAAAAGCTATATTGTTGACCTTTTTGGACATGCTATCAAAGATCTGGGCATTATAGATGTAAAATTAAGTAGTAGATATTTAAATGCATAAAAAATTGGGTGGCATGCAAGCAAGTGTGTGTTGAGGTTCTTGGTAGCCTTATTCTATAAAATATGAAACCATTCATCATTTCTTTTCATAACACATAAATGAGAGGAAGTCATATTTATATCCTGTGATTTCTTTGCGAAGCATATTTAAAATAATTATAGCTTCAATGTGGTATAATGCTTGGAGTCTTTATGCCTTTCTAATTTTTGATGTGTGGCATTTAAGGGCCCTTTTAGTTTCCTGAAATTGGCTTTTGATTACATGAAACACATAAGGATTGAATACTAGACTTGCAAACCTTCATAACATTCCCGAATGCTCTTCTTAATATCAATGGTGGAGATAAGGTTCAAATAGAGACATTCATAATGTGGTTCTATATGGATTTTCGAGCAGGCTATAAGTTGGAAGGTTGTTGGTTAAGGGCAATGATGTACAACACAATATTCATGCTTATATAGCTGAAATTTTTTAATAACTAATATTTGTTTAGTAGTTGTCATTCTCACTTCTTTAGGTTGTTGGTAGTTTCAACCCCAGCTTTGAATGACTTGTGAACTATAGCTTTATAACATTGGTTGCCGAAAATTTAGAAATTACAATGCTACAGAAATATTACAATACAGATACATAACACATATGATCGGAAATGATTATCTGTTACATGTTCACTTGTCATGCAGGTAATAGGGATTCGAAGTTGCCCAACCTTTGAGTGTTTTGCTGATAGCTGTTTTTCAATATTGGTATATAGACTTCGATGCCTCGGTTGCCTGTGGGATTATAACGAATGAGAAGTCTAAAGCTGAGCCCGTCCCTAATCTAAATTCTTATGCCCCTTTCTGATTTTCCATATGCTCATCACTTAACTTTTTATGAAAACATGCATGTTTAATTAATTAATTTATTTATTTAAATTGCAACTATTTGTTTAATCTTTTATATACACTTGTGCTACTTAGTTGCAATTTTATTTAAGTTTCGTCAGAGTTGACGGTATGCATTGACCTTTTTCTTTTTACTGCACTTTACTGTTCATATTTTCTTATACATGCAATATTATTCTCATGTTATTTATTGCACTTCACTACATATGCTCTGTCATACATGCAATACTATTATGTTGCTATTCGTTACTATGCTTCTAGCATATTTTTCTAGAATTCTAGAATAACAAATGTAGAACATGTCTTGGTTTGAAATCTTATAACACATAGTGAACATACTTTTTTTTAATTACACCATCTTTTCAAAATTTCATAAGAAACTTTTTTTTTAATTACAAATAATGTTTTAAAGTTTCGATAAATTAATAATAACATAATAATAATAAACATTTTTTTGGATTTATCAGAATCTCTCATATGAGTTAACCTACGATTACTAATAAAAATTCTCTAATCTAAATGAGTCTAAAGACTTGTTTAGACTAAGTCCAAAATTAACGGTGATGCCGGAATGATGGAACCGTGAGATCTTAACATGTGTCGCTTAACATAAATACTTCATTTTCTTAACAATGACAAACACCGATTAAAAAAAAAATGCCTAAGATCACACTAAATAACAACAAGGACTTAGGATAGACCGTTCTAAGCATAGTTCTCTCCTCTTCTCTTTTCTCGGAACGAGTCGATGACACGATCGAGCGGTAGACAATCTTGAAACGACGGTCGATACTACAAGATGGAGCGAAGGATTAGTTTTAAACAACTTAAACTTTTAGGACTCCGAGGTTGTTCGTCTAGCACGACGTAAATTTTCACTCTAACTTTTAGGCTTTTGTAAGATCGTATATTGTGATAATATAAGTCCTAATCTTTTTTTAGGGTTTTGAGGTCCTCGTTCAGTACGACATAAATTCTTCTATCTTCTTGGGCTATTTTGCATATGTCATGAAAATAGAAGTCCCAAATGCAGGATTGAAACATTATAATTTATCTTTCAAAGATGTAAAACTAAACCGTATGTTATTTTGAGATGTCACTGAAGCTTCTTCAGTGTCTTCGACATCACCTACTTTTCACTTTTTTGGATTTCGAAAGTAACTGTTCCAAATTGAGCCTTTTCCTTTGAATTTTCTATAAGTAAGTGTGAAAACTCAACTTTGATTTATTGAAAATGAAACACTTGATCTTAATCGAGAGTTTTTTTAAGTGACTCCGGTCGTTTAAGATGTGATTAACTATAAGGACTTTCTTCTATAGAAATTAGAAACCCACGTAATATAAACCCTGCCTAACCTTTATATTAGGTAGGAGAACTTGTCGGTCATACATAAAATGTTCGCAGATCAAACAGATGTCACAAATCTCTTAGTTTGCATGATTGGGTCCATCGCCGAGGTATAAACTTATCTTTTGGAAGTTGTAATACTCGCGATATCAGATACGATTATGTAAACTATTAGACGAATGAGATACATTTGGTCTCATTTTTTCAAAATTGATACACACTATCTTTAAAATAAAAAAAAAATTATATACCCTTTATATTTGATTAAATTTATAATATATAATTAAAAAAAAAAGGCCGACAACATCTTTCCTCCAAATTTACAGTGTGGTGAACGAACGTAATTGGACCTTCGAAGGAAGCGGTCGGTCCTTCAGAGGATGCGAGCGGAGGTTCTGCTAAAGATATGATGCAGGAATTATCGACACACCTGACAACCATGGATTCAGAGGTGACAACCTTCAAATGGAACTTTTTGCTTTAAAAAGTGGGCTGGCGGGTGTGGTGTGTGAGTTGGGGACACTTTGCGAGTCAACTGCTCTAGGTGAGTTCTAGCGCTATGCCGACCGAGTGAAGCAAATTAGATTAGGTGAAGAGTTGGTCCTTCGAAGGTTAATTTGGAAGGTGTATGTTCCACAGAAGTCTTAGAAGACCCTTTTATAAAACACATTGTTCAAGA